CTGTTTATGTATATAATGAAAAGAAGGGGTCCCAATACACTCCCCTGGATGACACCACTGCTGATTGGTCTAGGTCTGGAGGTCATTGAGCCAACTTTAGTTGTCTAATTTCTGTCATACAGAAATGATTTTATCCAATTGTAGAGGGGGTTGCGTATCCCTAGTGAGCATAGCCTACCGACTAACAGACTTTGTGGGACTCTGTCGAAGGCTTTCCTTATATCGAAATAGAGGATAATCACTAGCTCTCTCCTATCTCTTCTATAGGTGACTTCGATGAAAAAGTCTATATGGCAAGTGACGCAAGATCTTTTCTTGAGGAATCCGTGTTGTGACAGGTTGATGAGTTTATGTTTTAGAAAGTAGTCTGACATTTGGTCTTTGATTACTTTCTCCATGATCCTTGATATGACTGGTGTTATATTGATAGGCCTATAATTACATGCACTAGTTTTGGCCCCTCCTTTATGCTTAGGTAATATATATGTGTTTTTCCAAGTTTCAGGGTAGGTTTCGGTCACTAGTGAGATATTAAATATTCTAAGTAATAATACAATCATATCCGTACCACCGTTTTTGTATATGACGGATGGTATATCGTCTATCCCACAACTACTGTTAGCTTTTAATGTCCTTACCGCCGATGCTATATTTTGTATATTAAAGTTTATTTCACCTAACTTGTTGTTATTTTTGCAGGTTATGTCGAGAATTGGGGATGGATGTGCTTTGGTGTTATTGGAGAACCACTCACTCAATAGTTCACTAATGATCTGGGGATCATCATAAATTATATCTTCGTGTTCTAAATGACTGATATTGTTTTCCTCACCCTTCTTCAGCCGTTTTTGCAAGATTTTGCAGAGTTCCTGGGTTTTAGAGGTGCCCTCTAGGGCTATATTTCCCTCGACTTGTGCTTTCATTTTATGTCTCTCATCTAAATTTTTAAATATTTCGTGTATCAGGTGTAATGCATTAAATTCTTTGTAAAAATAAAATCTCCTTTTTAGTTTCCTTAGTTTTATTCGCGTTTTGCGATCTATGAACAGAGTTGGTGTCTTTAGGGCAGATTTCAGGGGTGCGATTGTGTCTCTTACCGAACTGATTGTCTTGTAGAAGGTATTTAATAATAATAATAATAATAATAATAGTATATTCTCATTTTGTACATGAGAGACGCCAGTTTACAGGCATCATCAATATGATAAATTACATATACGATTAGCAATCATAATTAATAATAATGTTTTAATAAAATACACATTTTTTCCTACTTGTGTAGGACACACCAAATATACAGGCATGGATAAGCATTATATAAATTTCATAAATTTGGTTTATGGTTAAGTTACATGGTTGCTGGCGTTTTTGTCTTAGGTCTGTGGGAACAATATGATAACCAGTCATTCAATGGAGCACGTCATGAAATATAGGAATATTAACTTCGCATTAACAAAAAAACCCAAGTAAGTTTTGGATGGATTAAAAATACTTGGGAAAAAATAAAGCTTGAAGTAATTCCTCAATATAACTTGGGTGTGTACAAATCCGAATCTTATTTTTGATTTGATTTATATCCAAATTGGGTAATAAGGAAGCTATTCTTACAGATACGATCAGTTATGTTATAAGCTACAATCGTGACGTTGTATTACAAATAGATACTTTTCCATTGGTATAAGAGTATATTCCACAAATGTAATCCAGGTTGCGTCGTGGAGAAAGTTAATTCGTTATTAACCAGGCAACTGAAAGATACTGGACCAATAATGTTTGCAGATCATTTGTCATTGTAAATGGTCAAATATCCACATTATTCATTCTCATTCAAAAAGTCAAATGGAAGCTGAAATGGTGAGAAAAAAAAGAAGACAAACAACAGCAACGCAAAAGAAAGCAACGGGAGTCCTTAAGGAGTGATTAATAAATATATACATATATATTCTGTTTAGTAACTGTGGTTATTTTGGTACACAAACTAACTAGTCCCGTTATGCTAACTTTTATATTATGTGTAAACTAATATTATTACTGTCCTGTGTAGAAATGTTAATCATCTAGTTCCAATAATATTAAAATTTATAATTGTAGTTTGTTGTAACTACACGTTTAAAGAACTTAAAATATCTATGTAGGGTGAAAAAGAAGGTGTAAGAGTCAGGCGCAAAAGTGCATTGTCATCTTTGAGTAGTCTGGTGACTGAGGAGATGAACACTGGAAGTGTGTTTGCATCGCGCACATTAGCTGGTAGTCTATTCCAAATGACTGAAAACTTATTTAAGAAGAAGTTGTACCGCACGTAAGTCTGACAGTGCTCCATAGCAGCTAGGTTGTGATGATTTCTAAGATTGTAACTGATGACAGCGGTAGGTTTAGTTATTGGCTCGGAGGAATGCAAGAGAAGATTAGTTAGCTTATAGTAAAAGATAAGGTTTAGCTTAAGGCGTCTTTTCCAGAGGGGTTCTAATCTTAGTCTTACGCATCGCTCATGGTATTCCAGACCACTTTCTAAACCAAGAGTTCTTGAGGTAAACTGCCGTTGCACTCCCTCTAATTTAAGCTTGTCATTTTGTCTTAGTCCGCTAAGAATAAACGGGCAGTATTCTAAGATAGGTCGGACACATACTTTGTATAATAAAACCCTAGTTTCACAACAAAAGAAATTGCGTGTTATGCATCCTATCAGCCTTCGCGTTTTACGTCTGGCATAATCAGTCTGTTCAGCGAACGTTAGGTTACTAGAGTATCTAATACCGAGATCTACGACTGAGTTGAGCTTAGCTAGTTTTCGCCCATTTATTTCAAGAGTTAGATCAAGGTTACTGTTGCCAATACAAATCCAGCCGCATTTGTCAATGTTAAAATTTAGACAGGAATCGGCACACCATGATGCGAGGCTACTTAGTTCAAGATGTATTTTAGTAACCATATCGCTTAATTCATGAGTGTAGCAGGAGTAGACGACTTTGAGGTCGTCAGCATATAGGAATGGTTTGCCTAAGGTGAAGCACTTGCAAATGCTGTTAATGTAGATTGTGAATAAAAGTGGACCTAGGACACTACCTTGCACGACCCCACTTGAGATCTGCCTAGGATGAGACAATACAGATCCAACTTTGGTTATTTGTACCCTGTTGCTTAGAAATGATTTTAACCAGTTCAGTAATGGGTTGCGAATTCCACAAGAGTACAGCTTCTCAAAGAGAATACTGTGAGATACCATGTCAAATGCCCTAGATATATCGAAGTAGAGAACAACGACTAGCTTACGTGCTTCGCGACTACTAGTGATGCAGTTGAAAAAGTCGAAGTGGCAAGTAACGCAGGATCTATTTTTGAGAAATCCGTGTTGAGACCTTGTAACAAGATCTTCCCTAATTAGGTAGTCTGACAATTGATCTTTTACAACTTTCTCCATGATTCGTGAGATAACTGGGGTTATATTTATGGGTCTGTAATTGCGGACGTTTGCCCTATCACCAGATTTGTAATGTGGAATTATGAAGCTAGTTTTCCACTCACTAGGGTAAGTGCCAGTGTCCATAGATATTGAGAAGAATTTAAGAAGTAACAAGGGTATATCACACCCACTGTTTTTGAAAATTATCGAAGCGAGGCCATCCGGTCCCGTACTAGTGGAAGGTTTAAGGCTTTTAATTGCTTGTACTATTAACTGATTAGTGAACACAATGCTTTCAAGGGAAGAGATAGTAAGGGGAGCGGTTTCACCAGGCATATGTGTTTCTAAACTAAAGTTTGCAAACCAATCACTGAAGAGTTCACAGATAGTGGCAGGTTCATTGTAGATTACTTTGTCGTGAAGTAAGTATGGGATTTCCCTCGCCGACTGCATTCGTTTTTTAAGAAGTGCCGTTAAGTTATAAACTTTGGAGGTACTTTCAAGTGCCGTTAACTCTTCGTCGAGGTCCTTTTGAGAGCGTAGGCGCTTGAGAGATTCAAGAGACTCGTGGATTGAGAGCAATAGTGATATGTCCTTAGTGGAATAGTACTGTTTCTTCAGTTTCCTTAACTTATTACGGTGTGCCCTTGGAATATATTCAGTTCGGTGTCTACTTAATTTCACTATTTTCTTTGGAGCAACTGTATCTAGACAAAGGGTAACATTCCTGTAAAACAGGGTTACTAAGGCCTCCAGGGAGTCAGTGGTAAAATAGTCATCCCATTGACAGAGTCGAATAAGTTCTTGGACTAATCCCCAGTCTGTATATTTGTAACTACGACATATTGTGCTTCCTGAGTCTTGTTTGTTTCCTGTATTTAGTGGTGAGAAAGGCAGAGAGCAGAGTACCATTCTATGGTCACTACTGGAAAATCTATTACCAACATACGTGGATACTGGGATTGTGTCATGACAAAAAACAAGGTCCAACATGTTGTCACCACGAGTAGGTGTCTGGACGTGTTGTTGCCATCCATAACAGTCTATAGTGGCAAGTAATTCGTCGAAGCGTTGGGGGCCGGAACTAGTTAGCCAATTGACTTCTGGAAGATTGAAGTCCCCTGCAATTATTTTGTAATTAGCACTAAACGAGGATGCGTGTGCAAACGATTTAGCTAATAACGCATCAGTTTCTTTTGTTGAGCTTGGTGCTCGATAAACACAGCCTATGAGAAGTTTGTACTTATCTCCATGTAAGACAACCCAGAGTGAGTCAGGTACATTATTCATTGTTTCATCTTCCACCTTACTGACTACAAATGAGCTATGTATATATATGAGACATCCTCCACCACGCTTGCAATCTCTGTTTGCACGGTGTACAGTGTAATCATCGATACCTATATGCACATCAAGTACAGAGGATGAGCACCATGATTCAGTAATCAGAGCTACAGTAGGCTTGGCGACTAATAATAATGTCCTTAGTTCAGATATCTTATTGATTAAGGAACGTGCATTAATTAGCAATATCGTGAATAAGTCACGGGATACTACAAACTGGCTTAAAATGTCACCATAACCTAAATCTATTTGTGCGTCAGCACCGCAAGAATTTATGAATGAAAAGGAGGTCGGACTGGGTGTCTGTACATCGGGTTGGAGTGCAATGAGGTGGTCCTAGGTGCCATGGGTCGTACCAGTGATTCGGGACACCTGGAAAATTTACCATGTGTTCCTGGATATAAGGGTAGTACAGGTTGGGCCTAGGTTGACGGTTAAAAGGCATAGCATCAGAAGGTCTACCCATCCAACTGCTATTCGTCATACCGGTATACACCTTCGGGTTGTTTTTATAACTTAAAGGGAATTGTGAAGGAAGGTGCTTTGGCTGCAAGACTTTAGGAGTCTTGGAGCCTGACTTTCTATAAGGTGGAGCATGCGGAACACCTCCAGATATACTTATGTTTCGAGAGGAGTTTTTCGTAACAAGTGATGGTTTGTTGGCATTCTTACTCTCAGCAGGCTTATTGAATACAAAGTATTCTTCCCCATCATTAGTCTCAACCCTGCGAAATTTGTTCATCGTGGTGAGGTTACTACGTTTGGGGGGAAATTTCTTAGAACAACTTGCAGAAGTTCTAGTCATTTTAACATCTTTCGATGAGGCTTTATTTACAGGGGTACTGGTATCTAAATCAGTTCCTAGTTCCATTGGCAGGTGTGGTTGTTGTGTAGTTTGCTGAATGCTAGTTTCAGCACTAGGTGTCTGTTGCTGTGCACGATCCTTATTTGGTAAATCTAAGCTAGAGGAGGTGACCAGGTTATTACTACGCATTATTCTGCGCTGACACGGTGTTTTATCCTGAGCTACGGTTATAGACTTATAACTGCTATTCAGTCTTAAGTGATCCTGACATTTAGTAAACTTACTAGCATCAAGGGAATTACTGAATTTAAAAATGATTGGGCAATTAGCCTGGTTAGACTTTTTACGAAGTCGTTTGCATTCACATGGAACACTAGCCATGCCGCAACAAATCAGGATTTTGTGTCTTACAGTTTTCAGGGGCAGAGAATCTGGGACGTTGTAAACTATAGCTTGGTGAGAAGAGGTTATACGCTTCATCACCTCCGTAGCCAAGCAGTCAATCAGATTTTCAGCTTTATTTAGGTTGTCTGGAGATATTTTAGGATGCCTTTCTAAAAGACAGGCTATTGGGTCTAAATTCAAAAGCTTATTTTGAGTTACATCCAGTAAACACTTAACCTGACCAATATCAGACCGGCTCTCCGTGGTATTTGAGATTGGCAGTGACATACTATCAAACTGATCTAATTTTTTCTGAATTTCACTTACTTGCCTCTGCATATCTTTCAAAAGGAGGTTTAGTTTACAGAACTCAGAGTTCTCTAACAGAACATCTTTCACCTGTATCACAGGAGTGAGATCTGCACTCAAACCATTTTGAGAGCTAGTAGTTGATACTGTATTACCAGGCGGTAATGCAGTTATAACCGAATTTAAGCCACTATCTAAAACAATTGTGTTTCTACGAACACGTTTTTTAGAGATTTGGACCATAATTTCAAGAATTATATGACAATAAGCAGTAAATAAATTTCAGAGCAAACACGTGCAAAAATGTCACCAATTTCGAACGTACCGCCAAAGGTGCAATTTAGTATTACTTCTAAGTTATTATTGGTGAAGTATTCACCCCAGTCTGAGCTTCTCAAGAGCATTGGTAGGAATTCCCAGTCGGCATTTCGATAGTCCCTATATTGACAGTAAACCGGGGAACTCTTAGGTGTGTGTTTAGTTGTTAGTTGTAAGGGTAGGTGGTTTGTATCTTACACTGTCAACTGCCCAATGGGATGGAAATTGGCCGAACAATGTGGAAGACGAATGGTCAAATTAATGATTACAGATGCACATTATCGGATCAACAAATATCAACAAATTATAGATATCCAAAAAGCAAAATTAGAGAAAACCCTCAACCAGGAACACCTATCAACGTTGATCACCGCAATTACACTGTCAAGTGAAAAACACAGAGAACAAAGACGAAGAGTCCTCAAAACCAAGCTAGCCAAGATTAGAAAACAACAACCAGACAATACGCCCATAGACTGCGTAGTCAACCTATCAAAACAACCACTATCAAAAATGGAACAACAACTACTACAAAAAGGATTAAACTACAACACCGGAGATGCTTCAAAAGCTGATTTCTTCGCTGCCTTTGAATCATTACTCAAATCATCAAACTTGAACGAGGAAACACAGGAAGAGATACGCCAAACAATTGTACCAATGGTCAAACAGAAAAGACAACACACACAACTCAACGCTCAAGAACTAAAGGCCCTCAAAAAGCTGAAAAATAGGAAGGACATCGTCATTTTACCAGCCGACAAAGGAAGAACAACAGTAGTCATGGACAGAGAAGAATATACCAAGAAGGCAGAAGAACTACCCAAAGATGAAGATGTATATCAACAACTCCCAACAAATTCCATACAAACATTGGATAACCGCATTCAAAGGACCTTAAACAAGCTCACCAAAACTGGACAGATCACAAAACAAGACCAATGGCGAATGAAATCCAATGGACCAGTCCTACCCCGATTCTACGGCAGACCCAAAATACACAAGGCAAATATCCCATTACGACCAATTGTATCACTCCCAGGAACTCCAACATATAATTTATCCAAAGAATTATACAGAAAACTAAAACACCTAACGGAATCTTGCGATCACTCCATCAACTCTGCTATCCAATTCCTAGAGAAAATCAGAGGCATCCAAATAGATGAACAAGAAATAATGGTATCATTCGACGTGACAGCATTATATACATCCATCGGACAAAACCTAGCAAAAGAAACCATGGAACAACTACTTAGCAACGACGAACAACTGCCACAACAATCAAAAATGCAACACACAAGCTGGATGGAATGCATAAATCTATGCCTAACAACATACTTCCAATTCAACGGCCAAATATATGAACAAGTCAAAGGAACACCCATGGGATCGCCAATATCAGGTTTGATTGCAGAAGCAGTGATGCAAAGACTCGAAAATATAATTCTACCAAAGATCAAACCCAAGATTTGGATACGCTACGTCGACGACACATTTGTAATCATCAAAAGAAACGAATTGGATAAAACTCACAACTTAATAAACAACGTCTTCAACGACATCAAATTCACAAGAGAAGACGAATCCGAGAACAAAATACCATTTTTGGACGTCTTAGTCAGGCGAACAACTACAGGAGAATTAGAAACTCAAGTTTATAGGAAATCAACTCACACAGACCAAATACTGAATTACAACAGCAACAACCCAATAACACACAAAAGGAATTGCATACAAACACTATTCAAGAGGGCAAGGACTCACTGCAGCACTCCCACCCTAAGAAAAATTGAAGAAAAGTATCTCATGGACGTCTTCCAAAAGAATGGATATCCACGAAATTTCATCAAGAGACATATACCCCCAAGCCAACCTACCAAAACAAAAGCCACCAAGGAAACACAAAGAAAATTGCCTTACCATATATAAAAGATATCTCAGAAATCACTACAAGACTCTTCAAACCTTTAGGAGTTGACGTCGTACACAAACCAACAAAGTCGCTTCACTCAATTCTATGTCAACCAAAAGACTCAACAGCGAAAGAAGATAAAACCAACATCATCTACAAAATAAACTGTAACAACTGCGAAAAACACTACATTGGCCAAAGTGGACGTCCCCTTCGTCTTCGTATCCACGAACATAAGCTAGCCGTCAAAAGACATGATATCCACTCCCTCATTTCACTACACACAGACAACTACGGACATCAATTCGACTGGGACAACGTTCAAATATTAGACAAAGGAAATAACAAGAATGCTAGAGAATTTTTAGAAGCTTGGCATTCCAGTGGATCATCAATCAATAGACACATCGACATAGACAAAATTTATCAACCAATAAGAAAGAAACTTCACACACAAAGGGTCAAAATTTAAGTCAAAGAAACAACCGGTTCCAATACAAGTAACCTAGAAGGTGTGAAAACACACACAAACAACCAATCACGTCCAAGGTCACCAGGAGAGATGATTAATAAACTCGTGGAGAAATCTAAAAGCTCACTTCAAATTGAAGTATGCGCTGAAGATGTCACCCAGTAAGGTGATGAAAGCTTCGCAAACTAACCGTCCAGCTCAGAGAACAAAACCACATCAAAAACAATGATTTATTATTGTAATATTTTTTTTCAAATTTTAGTTCACTTATTCCTTATATATGTTGGTGTAACAATAAAGAAATCTGAAGCGGTAGATCGGTGTTTTGGTTTTTCGTCCGTTATAACTAAGCGTTTCTGAAATCTTCAAGGAACAGCGTGGGCCCGGGCGTAGCGAGAGCTGGGCATTAACGTTTTATGAGACGTGATTGACAGTTTCCTACGATTGAAACAGATCTGGCGGATTCAAACAGTTGGTGAAAGTTTGGATAGTCGCCGTTCATCTTTCCTGGTGCCGGTCAAGTCCTCTTTGAACAAGCAATATCTGGAACCTTTTTGGAATTGGGTCAAGTTCAACAATGCCTGGGTCAAAGAAGGAGCAGAGTGTCTTGGATACAAACAGGAAAGTAAGTCATGGTGACTTGTCTGTTAATTATAACGATGTTACTGTTTCGCCGTTCAGGGATAATAGGAACATCAAACTCCCTAAATTAGAACCACGGTGTTTCGATGGAAACCCGGCTGATTATTTACAATTTGTAAAGGAGTTTGAGATCATGTTGAGTAGTTTGCTATCAAGTGATGAATTGAAGTTAACGTATTTAATGAGTATTGCACTGGAGATGCTGCAAGAGCATTAGAGTGTTGTAAGTTTATGAAGCCAAAAGAGGGCTACTACGAGGCTATGAGCATATTACGTCAAAGGTTTGGAAGACCTTCGATTATTGCAGGGAAATTATTCGAGGCTGTTAAGGGTAATGGTGGTCAATTACAGGATGACTCCCAGGCACTCACTGAGTTTTTGGATAATCTGATGACTGACAAAAATACGTCGATTTCGATGAATTGCACGAGTGACCTCAACTCGAGTTTTATACTAGAAGTAATAGCAAGACGTCTACCTATTCGACTGCAAAGGAAGTGGGTGAAGATGAGCTCCCGTGTGGAGGATGAGGGCATCGAGCCAAAGTTTGATGATATCCTGAAACTGGTAAAAGATAGTGTCAATCAATCTATGAGCAAGTTCGCCAGTATATTGAATCTCACCCCTAGAATAGAGCAGTCTGAGGGCAAAACGCACTCATTGATGACGAATAGGCCTCAGAGAGATGGATATCTAGAAGGCTCCATGATGTCTAGTAGTGCATATAGACCTAGTGACTGTAACAGGTTTCGTAGTACATCCTCAATAGATAAGTTACAAGATGCAAGACAAACACGGTTGTGTTTTACACGTTTGCAAGAGGTGCATACAAAGGTGAACTGTGAACCAGTGAGCAAGTTCAGTGATAAGCCAAATGTGAAATCCAGGTCTGACTCCAAATTGTGTGACGATAACGGTTTGGTCAGGAAGTCTGTAGTTGCAACTGGTAAGCCGTTGCTGAATAGAGTGTCACAGGATAGAGTTGCTGCTTCAGAGTGCAGTTCTGACCCTACAAGTTTACAAGGTATAACTAGTCAGAGTGAAGGTATAAAATCCTTAGGGATTTGTGAGGAGGAACCAAAATTGTCTACTTCTGTTATTAAAGAGTTTGAAAATGATAAAGTTGACGGTAAATTGAATATTCGTGATAATGATCATGATACTTCACAGTTGTCTTTGGTTGATCATTATGAGATGAGGGATATGCCTACTACTGCTAAGTTAAATAAAGGTTCTGTACAACTACAACGTGAAGTAGAATTGAACGCAGATGCAGTTCCAGAAGGTGTGCATACTTGTGAGACAGTCAGTGTAATTGATCAGCGTGTAGCCCACCTATCATCAGATGATAGTGCTAAACCCGAACTAGTAGTGAAAGACAGCAGTGGAGGTAATCTTGCAGTTGGACAATTATCTGAAAGCCGAAAAAGAACAGCTTCTGATCCACCGCTAAGTTCATCACCTTGCGTCACTCAGTCATCGTTGGTGTTTTCATCCACAATGAAACAGATGCCCACCAACTCAAGTATCTTCTGCAATGATTATGCTAGTATCAGATCGTTTGAAAGAACGAATATCAATGGTCAGTTTAGTGAGGATAAGCCAAGTGTAAAGGAGAGAATAATTGTTAAATTGACTTGCATGAATAAAGGCATTTCTAGTTTCAAGCTACTAATTGAATGCTATTATCTTTGGTGTAAATTACTCTGTTTCTACACTTGGTTGATGAGATATGCCGTGTGTTTGTTCGTCATCATTATTCTACGGTACAATGACATGGGCGTGTTACCGTTCAGATTTGAGGATATAGCGGATAGAAGGAAGTCAGCAAATGAACCCTGCGACGATTTTCAAACCTAGGGCGTCAAAATGAGAAGGGTTGCAGGCGCACTGCTG